TTTAGAGAGGAATTGGTGACAATTAGTGACTTAAGAAAAAAATTGTGACTTTACCCTCCATTGCGAGGATTTTAGCCTGAATTCAAGTTATCTCCCACATAAACAAAACTCTGTCCGTTTGTATGTGAATAAACTCCTCCGAAACGGCTCGACCGACTTTGAAAAAATTTTGTGCGTGCGATCAAGTTCATGCGAAAATGGCTTAGATTCACAATTGGACCGGTCAAATTATGAAATGATTTCCAAAGAAATATGATATATGTTTGGACGAAAATAAACCAACGCCTTTTCGTAAACTTTTATTTTATGACTTAGACTAACTGACCCGGCGAACTTCGTACCGCCTAACTATCGATGAATGTCGTGTTACATTTTAGCTGAACTAATTTAGGCTTTGATGAACGTAATACAATGATACAAAATAAAAATGCAGATATATATAAAAAAGTATTTTATTATGATAAATAATACATACAGAAAGAGAATTAAAAAAAATTAAGTACTTCAAACACGTGTCAGCAAAAAATGACTGAATTAAACGATTAACTCTTTTCATTCAAGCACCTTGTGGTAAACGACATTCTTTGTTTTTTTGTCAGGCGCAAGAACAAATAAAGCAGATGGTTTGCCGACACGTGAACATGCCACGTACAATTGAACATGAGAAAAACATGAATTTTCTAGATTGAGGCCACAAATAGTCAAGGATTGGCCCTGTGATTTGTTAATCGTCATGGCGAAGGCAAGACGAATCGGGAATTGAATTCTTTTAAACTCAAAGGGCATATCTTGGGATCATGGAATCCTTGGAATAAGAACTTCCTCTTTTAAATTTTCCTTTTAGTATCGACGCGTGAATCACATTGCTCATCAGTTTTCTTATCACCAAACGCGTTCCATTGCACAGTTTTGGTTGGTTTAAATTTCTAAGCGTAATTACTACCGAGCCAACCTTCAGTTGTATATTGTGCGGTGGTAAACCAGGCACGTCCAAGGAGTTTAAAAATTGAGTTGGATAATTAGTGGCTTCATCTTCGTTTGTTACACAGTCGATAGATTTGAATGAATGCAGAGTACCTGCGATTTGATTCTGAATTATAAAATTTAGGTCATCTACATCTAAAGATAGATGACTAATTTTTAGCCGCCAAAATTGCACGCTCACTTAACCATTTAGTATGTTTGTGGTTAGCAATGATATCCGGGAATACTTTGTTGATAAGCTCGTCTTTCGATGAGACGAAATTGCAAAAATTTGGAGGAGATGACATCAATCCGCTCGATTCGTCAACAGGAACACGGCCATTACCGATAGTCAGCAATTGCTTAGAGAAATCATCAGCAGATAGATCGTTCAACAATGCACCTCTCATATTTACTGACAGTTGAAGTTTCTTCACATATCGCCACAGATTTGATGCTTTGAGACAAGCGTTTATTTCATCGGCAGCAGTAGCTCTTGGAATGACTGGTAGTGTTTGTCGGAAATCGCCAGATAGTAAAATCATCGCACCACCAAAACATCTCGAGTCGTTGCGCAGATCTTTTAATGTTCGGTCAAGTGCTTCCAATGCGCGTTTGTGCGCCATTGTGCATTCGTCCCATATTATGATTTTTGATGCTACCAAAACTTTGGCCATTGCGGAGTGTTTCGAAATGTTACACGTCGGTTGTTCAGTAGTTTGAAGGTTTAATGGCAATTTTAACACTGAGTGAGCCGTACGGCATCCGTCTAACAATGTGGCCGCTATTCCAGAAGAAGCAACTGCTACCGCAATTTCGGATCTCGCGCGTACGGTGGCCAAAATCAATGACTTTAGGAATGTCTTTCCAGTTCCGCCGGGGGCATCCAGAAAAAATAAGCCACCATTTCCATCATCAATTGCATTAATCAATGTATCATAGACTTCCCTCTGTTTAGGATTCAACAGTGGTACATTCGTTTGAACTGATTGGACTAATTCATGTGGATCATATTCACGTTCACGTTCTAGTTCTCTATTAAATGCGTCATTCATTCCGCGATCTGGCGCTGGCATTCCTAGCCTGACTAACAATCCCGCCGCACATGAGGTAACACATATCTTCGATCAAGAGCAAAGCCTGGTTATGCATCTATTCGCCTCAAGATTGGGATTTCTTGTGCTGACACGAATGCGATGTAAAATGTCTTCTGACATGATCTTTGTATTTGTTCCACAGGTCTCGTGGGTTCGATAGGAAGCATGTCGAAATGATGATAGCAAATAATGTGCGTATCTGACTTGGAGATGCAGAAATAATTGCTTCAGCGATTGTCGTGTCCCAATGAGTATCGTTTTCAAGCAAATTGAGCTCTTGACATGCTGCACGAAATGTGGGGCACATTATACCATTAACAGTTCGTAGTGATTCAAAGGATGTTGGCCCTCGAACATGCAACAGCAATAACCTCAAATAGAAACATTCATCATTCTTCGGATGAACTGTGTAAATACGACCAAGAGCATCAGTAGAACGCATATCTAGATGACCAGGAACTGCATCGCCTTGCTTCCGACGTTGAAATTTCTTCGATGTAGCGTTCCAAGTGTAATAACGTGGCATCTCCGAGTAAAGCAACATTCGTGCGAACGGATCGCTTTGACAAATCGCAAAGAAACTGGTCAATGTTGTCGCTGGAGGTCTTTCGGCACGTTGAACAGCATTCGACGCTGTGAAATATACTCTCTAACCGTTCTCTAGATGCACCCCCAAATGCGCAACAGTGGGATGACGTTCGTGAATAGGGAATGAGAATATACGCCAAATTGCTTCATTGCTGTTCACATATCTACCAACTTGATAGCACGTAATTTCATCGTTGGTATTGGATGCTTGGATACCAAAAACCGCCATGTCGCTGCCTTTCGTGACATATTTGCAAATGTATTTAATTGACTTGACCGAATTGCAATACTCAACATTACAATGTGCCTTGAATGTTTTGGAAAGAAGTGGTGAATATGGAACAATCCAACTGTTGTCGACCACGAAATCGTTTCCTTTCACTTTATTTGTGATGTTACTATCATCTGGCGATCGACGCCGATACAGTGGATAACCATCGTTGCCGGTGATGGTCTCTGCCGTCAGTTTTCGTGGATACCGTTTGGAACACTTGCCGTCGACCATGGACGGTGATTGGCGGTTAATGGTGCCACACGGTCCATGAATCATATTCGTGATTACAACCTCATGTAGGTCTGGTTCGGTTTAAGGATCAGGAATCTCCGCACATATGATGTCTTCTATTTGATCTGGCCGAATTCTTTCGACTAACCAAATTAGAATGTGTGCATGCGGCAAGCCTCGTTTTTGACATTCTATTTAATACATCCAGCATTGAGTAGTTCCAAAGACGTGTTGCTTAACAATATAATTCATCAGAGACCGGATTTTTTTGCTTGAAAACACGTGCGGTGATGTCGGGCCGATCCCTTGATGTTTGTCCGGGAAGCAGCAGTTGAATAATATCCATCCATTTCGGATTACATGTAAATGTAATGAATAGATCTGGCCGACCATAATGACGAACATATGTCATTGCATCTTGCGCATATTCATGCATATCACGCGGGCTACCTGTGTAAAAAGTAGAAATTTTTGCATCTCTAATTGCATCGCGTAAATGGATATGCTCTTCCGAACGTAATTTAGCTTGGTTCAACCGAATGAAAGTCAAGCGCTCCGTTTCGATTTTAACGAACATGTCAACGCAATATTGTTGAAGCAGTCGATGAAATCGCAACAAATAATTGTCAGAATTTTCACGAATCATCAAACGATGTGCGTAATAATTCATCGAACTAACCTTCTTGGTAGTTTCCTCGCCTGAAACAAATATAGTAAAATTTGTATTTTAGAAGAAAAATCCATGTCTGTATTCCTTGAAGGGGTAAACAGAATGTCATCACTAAGTTTTGTACAATATTTTCTAAACCAACAACCCCTAATAGGGTTAACGACTCTTACAACTACTCTCTGCTAAATTAGGAGTGACAACTTTTTTTGGTTACAAAAGCAAACAGAATAAAATGTATATCAAGTTAAAATGAAAACTATGACACTTACCATTCAATGGATTAATCATTTTGATATTGAAGTGATATCCATCGTTTCCTTGCCAAAACATCAGCGGGTATTGTAATGCGTCATATGAACGGTGTGTTTCATATATTTTTTGTAGTTGCCCAGTATTGCGTCGTGTAAGTACAATATCACGTGTTTCTAAGTTTTCACCAACAATCAGGATTGCCACTTCATCAATTGTTGAAACATTAAATGTAGTGTCGCAACACAACTTTATAATCATCACTTGGCATGCGCTCTAATGCAGTCTTGAACAGCCTGACCAATGCATGATGTTCATGAAGCAGTTGCTGCAGATCTTGGAGAATTGCTCTTTTTGTAGCTGTGTTGATCCCTTGACGCCGGTCAAGTTGTTCTTCCATATTGCCCATGAAATATATTTGCAAGAATTTATGCTGTGCATCTTCATGAGGTTGCAATGATCCAATGCGATGGTAAATCTGGCCTTGAATCTGTAAAGTCGAAGGCATAGTTAGATTTACAATTTTTTTTTTCAAATGATAACATGCCATTTTTATTTTAGAGACAAATATAGAAATCTAACAAACTACATTCCAGCAATTACCTTAAATGTCGGATTATGAATGAATGAATGAATGACATTGTATTTTTGAGTGTTCGCTAGAAAATGTCGTGATTCTGGAGTTTCGCCATTAAGCAAGGAACACAATGGCTCTGGTGACGGAACCAATAATGGCAATTTCACTTTACCGCTAAGGCAGCACAAACCAGACGTTTCAGCAAACTTCAATGCGCCACAATGCTGGCAAACAACGTCCATTGGACCAATTCAAACTAAACGATGCAAGCTGTAGTCGATGGTGCAATCATATAGAAATGATGCTCGATTCAAATCAACGCTTGAACCATTTCTTCTTGCACGTCGAAGATTATCCCTCTGTTGATCGCACCATAGCTCGACGATTTCTCGTTTCTAACCTAGCCATTTCACGGGCTGCCTCTCTTTCCTCTTGTGTTTGAGTGGCACGAACTAAAGCCCTTCTTCGCTCCATACTAACGCGGCGCTCTTCTCGTGCAATGTCTCGTTCTTCATCAGATACGCAGCAGAGCATGACTCGCGATGTTCCGTTGCCTAATTGCAGTACGGCTTCGCTGGGAAAGATTAGATCTTCTAGGACGTGGCTTTGTTACTAATACTAATATTGAATATGTACTCGCACAAAACCACTCAAAACAACCAAATATAACAGTAGCTGAACTTTCGTGACTTTGGATACTGCACTTTTTAACCTTTGTAATTATATATCTTAGAAAATCATAGACAACATAAAAAGACATTTACGCTTTCGATAACTTAAATAATAAATCTTAGAAATTGTTTTCGAAAATAGAAACTTTAATTTACGCAAAATAAAGTTATGAACGCACGCGTTAAGTGCTAACGCGTAAATGTTAACCATTTGTCATTATTTCTGAACGCAGGCATAAATATTTGAGGAACTTCTATTTAAATCTGCTTAATACACTTTTCAACCTTTTTAATTGATTAAAAAAATACAGACAAAAGTTTATTCACCCTTTTTAAATAGTTTACACAAAATACATTTCTGAACGCATGCGTAAATGTCAATCACAGTATTTGACAGGATGACAGGAGGAAAACAAATGTTTGACAGGTACGAAATAAAGGAACATAATTAAATGGAAAATGATTCATTTTCATAATTATGTATTCGTCAAGTTTTCATTGTTTTTTAAATGTATTCTGCTATTCAGGGCGGAGACAAATCCAACGAAACAAAAACCATGAAAATTGATCCAGCTGATCTCGAGTTATAAGTGTTGTAACAAACCCGTCTTTGTTTTATATATATATTTTTATAGATACTGCATAAATATTGTTGCGCGCCTAAGTTGACGTCATGTACCCGGCACTAGCGCCATCTAGTGTCGGGGACGAGAGCGAGGAGGGCTTCCTAGAAAATGTCAATCTTGACTTTCGACCAACAGCGCCATCTAGTATCGAACAGAAGAATTAAGCTTTCTGGAAGCCCCACACTAGAACTTTCTGCGCCTGGTAGGTTAGCGCGCGTATTTACTTGAATATTCTGGACATTTCGGTGAAAAATGTGTATTAATGGTGCTACAAGACGCGGTCGGGGCAAGTATTGAATTTGGCGAGACAAGCGAAGTTTCGGAGCGAAATAAAGTGAATCAGTGTGATTAATTATTAGTGTCTTTTAAGTTTTAATTGGTGTTCGGTAATAAAAGTGTGCATTTTGGTAATTCATTCGGCAATTTTTATTGTCACGAACCTCAAGCTCGTAACAATATTTTTAAATACTCATAAGTATATTTTTTTTTTAAATCTTTATTTAAGAGCTTAATCAAAATGCGATTATGTCGCTCTATTTGACATCATTTAGAACTAAATAACATTCCTTTTAGCAAGCAAACAAAAATGAAAATGAAAACAAGTACTATCTAATTGACTGATCTGAGGAAAATATTATGTTATATAATTTAGTCAATAATTTTGTTTCATCGGAATGAGGATTGGATAAAATAATATTACAATCAGCAAATTCCTTTAAAATATTTTTTACACTTAGCTATTCGAAAGGCAGCATTGCGGGCACACTCCATCAAGACATGCATTAAGTCCTCGGGGACACCGCATTGTTCACAGTTCGGTGACGGGACTTTATTCATAAGAAAAGCAAAATTCTTGCATGGAATGTGTCCAGAACGTAGCCTCATAATCACTACTGCGTCCTTTCTTGGTGATATGTGACTATCAATCCATGGAATTCTGAGAGGATGTGGCTGAACCGTTTTATACCAGATACCTTTTTCTTTAGAGCGTAAATCAAAATATTCCTTCCATAATTTGTAGCATTGTGTTTTGATTAACCAAATGCAATCTGTATAATAAGGGAGTACATTATATTCGATTCCCTCAGTAATAGCTTGTCTAGCCAAGACGTCTACCCTTTCATTATATTCAACGCCACAGTGCGACGGAATCCACTGTAACTTTATAGAGTTAGAATTGGAGGTCAGATTTAAAATACAGTCCAGGACTGAGTAGGCTATCGGAGTGCCTCGTAGGCCCGAGGTGCACCGAGCCAAGTGTTGGAGTGCGCTTTTAGAGTCTGTGAATATCACTATATGGTCTTGTGGTAGCGATATTGCGTAAGACAAAGCCTCACAGATTGCTATTAGTTCCGCCTCCATAATGCATATTATGTCACTGTCTATTTTTAATTGTAGACTAATGTTGCATTGTGGGTCATAAAATGCTGAACCAATTCCACTCCCATCCTTAGATCCATCAGTATAGAGTTTATAATAATTTTTATATCGCTGGTTGATAAAATCCAAGCATAATAACTTTAAATTAAAATTACTGTAGCTTCGCTTTTTTTAACAAGATTCGGGATATTACAGTGAATTACATCATCCAAATCTATGTTGGTAACCCAGGTATTCATAGAAAACATTTCTAGTTGTCGGCTGGCATGAATATAAACATTAGAAAGACAATCAAACATAGTTAACAATAGTGGCTTCTTTTTTATTCCGCCAATATCTGTTGTCTTTATATGTCGATAATTCTCGTAATATTTTAATTGTAATATTGTTTTCTCGTGACCTAGCTTTTAATATAAATTTACCTCCTAAATACGTTCTCCGCACGTGCAATGGAGGGAGACCAAGTTCGCTCTCCATTGCATGTATAGGAGTTGTTTTAATAAAACCTCCCATTACTCTCAGCGCTTGATTTTGCACTATATCTAGCTTACTGTTACGCGCTCCAGTCAACGATACACTAGCGCCATCTAGTGTCAGGAACGAGAGCGAGGGGAGCATTGAGAAAATGACATCACAAATCGCTCAACTGACAGCGCCTAGTCGAAACTCGAACGCTCGATACCTTCCGCGTGTTTACTTGAACATTCTGGATATTTCTTTGCTAATTCAAATATATAGGCGCTGCAAGATGCGATCGAGGCAGAGTGAACTCGGCGACACAAGCGAAGCTTCGGAGTGGAATTAAGTGAATTAGTGTGTTTAAATTATTAGTGTTTTAACTTTAATTGTGTAAAGTAAATTAAAGTGTTAATTTAGGTAATTTTATCGGCAATTTTTATTGTCACGAACCTCAAGCTCGTAACAATTGGTGTCAGAAGTGGGATAAAATCATGCCGATTTTACCTAAGGAGGAAACGGAGGGTGTCCGAACCCGAAGTCAACGCCAGCAGGAGACGGACCAACGAAGATTTGGTGGTGCAACGCCGCAGACGTCGGAGGGCCAGCCACCGGCTGAAGGCCCGTCGGTAGCTCCTACATCTGCAGCACCTGACTTAGGTGCTCTGATGGTGATGCTGCAGGAGCAGGCTCGCCGACAGGAGGAGCAGGCTCGCCGACAGGAGGAGCAGGCTCGCCGACAGGAGGAGCAGGCTCGCCGACAGGAGGAACAGGCCCGCCGATTGGAAGAGCAGCTGCGGGGCGGACAGGAGGAACAGGCCCGCCGACAGGAGGAACAGGCCCGTCGTTTAGAAGAGCAACTCAAACGCGATAAGGAAGAGCAGATGCTCCTCATGAAGGACCTTCACGCTATCTTCGGAAAGGAGATACGGGAGGTGAAGGATAAGGTTGCTCAACATGACAACCGCCTGTCGGAGGCCGAAACCCGAATCGACCAAGTAAACAATCGGGTTGACAACGTAATGGCTGACGTGAAGAAAACGCTGGACGACCTCAAACTTGGGGATGGAACAACAGCTCCCGTAGTAGCTACAACACCTTCGCTACGTGGATTCAAAGTGCCGCCGTTCGACGGGACCTCTTCCTGGTCGTCCTACAAAATCCAGTTCGAGGCCGTCATGGAGGCAAACGGCTGGAATAAAAGCCAGGCCGTGACTGCACTCACCTTAGGCCTGCGCGACCAAGCCTTAACTGTGTTGGAAGCTCTCGGTAAGAAAGTGACCTACGAGCAGCTCCTTGAGGCATTGGAGGCGAGATATGGCGACGCTCACCTGGAACACGTCTTTCGTGCGCAGCTTAAAGATCGTGTGCAGCGCATCAACGAAAACCTGCAGCAGTGGGCTCTAGAAGTGGAGAAGCTGGTGCGAAAAGCATACCGGTCTGTACCTGCGCTCATTGAAGGGAACCTGGTGCAGACATTCATCGACGGCATCCGCGACCTGGAAGTCAGAGCTGCTGTGAGGCTCGGGCACCACGAGACGCTTAAGGACGCCTTGGCCCATGCACTGGAAGTGGAAGCCGTGCGGCAGGATCATCGTTCCCATCGCGTCAGGGAGGTTGCAGCAGCTACAGTTCGCGACCGCAGCAAAGGATACAGCCCTAGGTGCTATGGCTGTGGGGAAAAGGGCCATCTTCGATCCAGCTGCCCTAAACGAGCCGTGGAAAAGAGAGTTGATCGATCTCGAGAGGGTAGTGCAGCTAACGGCACTGCCTGGCGGCGACAGGATCATCGTTCACCTCACGCTAGGGAGGTTACAGCAGTTACGGTTCGCGACCACAATAAAAGATACAGCCCTAGGTGCTATGGCTGTGGGGAAAGGGGCCATCTTCGGTCCAGCTGCCCTAAGCACACCCTAGGAAGGGAAGGTGAACGGTCTCAGAAAGGAAGTGCGGCTAACAGCACCGCCCAGCAGCAGCAGGAATACGACTTTACTATCAGACACTGCAGCGGGAAATCTCACGGCAACGCAGATGCATTGTCAAGAAGACCTTGTCCTGAAGATTGCAACCATTGTAGTAGGCAAGAGAGTAAGGAGGTGGTATCCGTGAGGATGCTCAGGACAGACCACCTCAGCAACGGGTGGAAGGACAACCTACGACATGCACAGCAGGAAGATCCGGACATCAAGCCGATTCTGGGATGGATGAAGGCCCGTGCTACCAAGCCTAAGTGGAGGGACGTCTCAGCGATGAGTTCAACCACGAAAAGCTATTGGGCCCAATGGGACAGCTTGCTGATTCAGGATGGAGTCCTGTGCCGTAAATGGGACAATGGTCGAAGAGACAGCTGTCGTTTGCAAATGGTTGTCCCTAAAGCTAAAGTGCCGAATGTTCTACAGTTGTGCCATAATGGTCGTTCAATAGTCCATCTGGGAGTTAAACGAACTCTACTGAAGGTCCGAGAACAGTTTTACTGGGTCCATTATCGTGACGATGTCGAGGATTGGTGTCGTACATGTACAAGTTGTGCGGCCGAGCGGGGACCTCGGACACGTAGTAGAGGAGCACCGAAATTGTACAATGTTGGTGCACCACGGGATAGGACAGCCCTTGACATTGCGGAGCCGTTACAGAAAGGCGCAAGAGGGACTCCTAAGATCGTCCATGTGAATCGCTTGGCGCGTTATTATGGGGCCGATAATGCTCGGGACGAGCATGTCTTAGGAGGGGGCAGTGTTACGCGCTCCAGTCAACGATACACTAGCGCCATCTAGTGTCAGGAACGAGAGCGAGGGGAGCATTGAGAAAATGACATCACAAATCGCTCAACTGACAGCGCCTAGTCGAAACTCGAACGCTCGATACCTTCCGCGTGTTTACTTGAACATTCTGGATATTTCTTTGCTAATTCAAATATATAGGCGCTGCAAGATGCGATCGAGGCAGAGTGAACTCGGCGACACAAGCGAAGCTTCGGAGTGGAATTAAGTGAATTAGTGTGTTTAAATTATTAGTGTTTTAACTTTAATTGTGTAAAGTAAATTAAAGTGTTAATTTAGGTAATTTTATCGGCAATTTTTATTGTCACGAACCTCAAGCTCGTAACAATTGGTGTCAGAAGTGGGATAAAATCATGCCGATTTTACCTAAGGAGGAAACGGAGGGTGTCCGAACCCGAAGTCAACGCCAGCAGGAGACGGACCAACGAAGATTTGGTGGTTACATAATTTTGACAGCTGTTGTCGTATAAAAAACTTCCGTAATCAAATCTACTCCTTATAATAGCAATATATAACCTTTTCAAATGTTTAGGGTGTATTCCCCACCCCTTCCCAGCAAGAACTTTAAAAATATTTAAGTATCTGGAAGTTTTATCAACTAACTCAGTAATGTGTTTATTCCATTTTAAAGAGCGGTCCAACCACATCCCCAAATACTTTACAGCACTGACTACCTCTATTACATTATTATTAATATTTAGCGATATCTGTTGTCTATTGATGCCTTTCTTGAAGACACATACCTTTGTTTTGGTTGTTGAAATGTCCAAACCCAAGCATGTTGCTTATTTTATTCAATGCTATTTGCAGTTCTTCGGATGCGTCGTTGACATTTTTACTAGTTAAATATAAAGCGTAATCATCAGCATATTGAGAAATCATAACATTAGAAACTTGTTTACATATATGGAGAGTAGCAATATTAAATAATATAGGTGAGAGAGAGTCTCCTTGGGCCAGGCCACGACCTGTAGATCTACAGATTATTTTTTTATCAACTTTTATGCTTAGTTGTCTTTCCTTTAAAAATGTCCATAAGTATTTACAGATTTTTGCACCAGCGCCTAGGCGATCTAAATTTAAAAGTAAAGCTCTAATATCCACGTTGTTATAAGCGTTTTCAATGTCAATGAAGCATCCTACCGTTAATTGATCTTTCGAAAATCCCAGCTGAATTCTAGAAACTAAATTGCTAAGGTTATTAATACAAGACTTGGTTTTTCTAAACCCGGTGGTCTCTTCGTGAAAGAGGTTTCTTTTCTCGACTAACCACTCTAATCTATTCTTCAACATAGAGTGTAATATTTTACATAAACAAGACATGAGAGAGATTGGTCTTAAAGCTGCTATTGAAGATGGATCCCGACCTGGTTTAGATATAGGTATAACAAGAATTTCACGCCATTGCGAGGGGACAAAACTGAGAGTGTAAAATAAATTGTAAAGATTAAGTAAAATATTTGTAGCGTTATCCGGTAAATATTTAATCATTGAGTACGAAATATTGTCGACTCCGGGTGAAGTATCTTTTGCTTTAACGCATCTTTTTAGTTCACATAATTAAAATGGAGCCTCAAGTTTTATATTACAAGATGAAAAAATGGGGTACTTTGGACAAACAAAATCTGGTGTTAAATTATGTAAAAGCTTATTAGCCGTTACTTCGTCAATAAAAGTATTAGATGATCTATAACCCTTTAACCACTTCATCTTGCGCCACATTTCTGTTACAGAAGTAGCCTCATCAATTGAAGAACAAAAATTAGAGAATGATTTGTTTTTAGCCTGTCGTAGTAATAATTGTGAAATTCTGATTTTATCTTTCAATTTGTTCAAATTACCAGGGGTGGGATTCTTTCGAAACAACGTAAGTGCTAGCCGTCTTTCTGCAACAGCTTTTGATAGCTTAGGGTTCCAACAGTGTTTGGGAGTAAAATGTTGAGAGGGGTCTTGGCTAAATCTATACAAAGGAATGTGAACATCAGCGGCTTCGTTAATAATGCTAAGGAACGAATCGTAACTTGTTTGCGGGTCATCAACAAGCAGGTTATAATTTGAGAGATTATCTTTAATATACTTACGATAACCATCCCAGTTAGCATTTTTAAAGTTTCTCCTCTGAATAAATGGCGAGTTATTGTTACTGTCGCGCCACAAGCGAAAACACACCGAAGCCTAAATCACGCTATCAACATTCCGAATCATAAACAGTATATATAGAACATCTCCGAACTATCACATGGAGTGTTGGCCGCTCCCCGGGCAGAACACCTTGCCCGGCGGGAGATCTCCCCTTTTCCTACCACGGCCACAGTGGTGACCCCGACGTGATCTGAACACGCAACCAAACAACCTTCGGAAACTTCAAGCTTCCTCAACGTCATAGAATACCCCACCCATTCGCTCCCGAGCAGATATGGTCTGCAGTCTTCATATCCTGCATGCCATCTAGCTTCACAAGGTTCATCGCAGCACTGGAATAATAATGCTTCCTGTTCCTTCAAGCTACTCTCTGCGCTATACAGTGTTCGGCACGGCTCTGAGCCTTACTGCTCGCCTCTGCTTCACGGCACTCTCGCAGATTACTTGCCTTCTTCTCGACTCACCGCAGACAAGGCAATCTCCTGGCACTTGCACATTCGTCGGCAACGAGGCTGCACTATCGACGTCCGGTCTGAGCAGGGGGTGATGTAGCGGCGCTGTCGTCGCGCCACAAGCGAAAACACACCGAAGCCTAAATCACGCTATCAACATTCCGAATCATAAACAGTATATATAGAACATCTCCGAACTATCACATGGAGTGTTGGCCGCTCCCCGGGCAGAACACCTTGCCCGGCGGGAGATCTCCCCTTTTCCTACCACGGCTACAGTTACTATAAGAAATATAAATCTTAATAATTAAGTGGTCACTACCTAATGTCTCATTAGTTACCTTCCAGTTCAAGTGCAAGGCTATGTCCGAAGATGCAATAGAAATATCAGGAGAAGATTCCTGCAATTTCCCGTTGACAAATTTAACACGCGTAGCTCGACTATCATTCAATGAAACAAAATTATTTTCTAACAAAGAATAAAAAATATTGCTACCTCTCAAATTAGTCTTACAAGACCAGCTGGAATGGTGGCCGTTAAAGTCACCAAGTACAAGTGTTTTACTCGTCTTAAACGAAAATATTTCATCCCAGTCACTTTGAGAAGTTCGTATAGTTGGTGGGCAGTAGATAGAAAATATGTAATCAATATATTTACAGTTGAAAACTTTTACACAAATTACTTCAATACTAGGATTTGAAAAATGAACAGGGATTAGTTGCGCCTTAACGGATTTGAGGGCTATAATAGCGACACCTCCATACGAGTCTTCTCGATCGTGACGGAAAACATTATAACCACTTATTCTAAAAGTAACCTCACTATTTAACCATGTTTCGCATATAGCAGCTATATGAATTTTTTCACTATTTAATAACTGCTCAAATTCTACATATTTAGGCTTAACACTTTGTGAATTCCACTGGAGAAGGTTTATTTGGGAGCTTATACCCGTAACTTACCGAGTATATTTTTTAAAAGGAAGGTCCCAGATGTATTCCCCTACCATCGATACCAACCATTCAATGCATAGTGACACTACTTGAATTATTCTACTCTTTAAATCTTCTTGTGAGTTAGAAATTAATGCATATAATTTTGCAAGCAATTGCTTCAAATTTAAACTAGATCTGCATTTCTCTTTTCTCTCATTTCTCAACCGAATTTCATTTTCCGACTCATCGACTAAATTACTATTCATTGTTTCTGATTCCGAAGATACATCCCTGTTATACACTTCATTTTGACTTTGTTTCTTTTTTCTTATTCTTTTTCTTCTTGGGTCTCTGTTCTAATGATTGAGAAACATTCGTTGAGCCCGGTTGCTTAGGTTGTGATTGTCGAATGATACTATCACAACGCGGCGCTCGGGTCACGCTTGCATAGGAAATAACGTTTATGTCTTGTGACTGATTAGGTACGTGTTCAGGTACAGACTCGGGAAACACACTAAGGCTTGCCGGTGAAGTTAAATTAAATCGTTTTGAGCGCAGTGTAGGGGCAGGTTCTGGCGGAACATATACTTGCAACGCCTTCCTATAAGAGCAGTTAAACTCTGCCATCAATTCACGAATTCGTTTCTCTTTTTTTAAACGCAGGACACGATCTATCCAGGCATAAATGGTTTCCTGTACAATTCACACATTTATATGAGGTAGTCTCACAGTTAGCGTGACCCTTGCCACACTTAGGGCACACAACCTTTTTGCTTGGACAAACACGCAAGGAGTGCCCAAATCGCCAGCACCTGGAACACTGGGTAACTGGGAACACGTATGGGTCGACATTTATCTTCATGCCGTAGATGTAGACACACGTTGGTAGTGAGGGACCCTTGAACCCCAGACGTATTGACTCACTTTCTTCCCAGCCGTTACCGTCCTTATTCCTGCGTTTTAAACGTTTTACCGCTATCAGTTCACAATTGCTTGAAATACCTTCTAACATGTCTTTTTCACTCAAGTCCAATTCTACATTCTTAATAACGCCGTAAGATATAACAACTTCAAGTGGTTTTTGGCATCTCCAACCTAAATCTTGCAAAGGTTTACAATTGATCAACTCCTCAGCACTTCCTGCATTTTCAAACTGTATGAACACTTTGTAGGGGTTTATATATTTTACCCGGCTAACACTACTAATGTTATTTGACCTTAATAATTTAGCAAGCGCGAATTGCTTCGGTAGCTTTTCGGAATTATTAATGTACACATCAACCTTTTGTCCCACTCTCTTTCCATTTCTTCCTACCGCTATCCACACTTCTTCCTCATCCTCCTCCCGCGGTCTCTTATTACGACTAACTCTAGAACTAGAGTCCTCAAGCATTTCTTCCTCTCGTTGTGTAGTATTCTTCTCCACTAAACAAATCTCCGACTCCTCAACATTACTTATCCCGGGTAGAATATTATTAATCACATTATCTTCTTGAATTATATCTTCCTCCATGTTAAATAAGGTTACACTATCGTATGCATCTATTCACCATTGCACGATGTGTGTAGTTATGTACACAATAGCGCGAAATATTTCCGGAGATAAGACTGCTCAGCGAGAAAAAACAACGCGACTATAGCGGACAAGTGCCCACAGCGAACTGTACTCATAACTATATAATGTATTAAAAACAATTTATTTTAGTATTTGGTGACCTCATTAGTGGAGCTGGTCGTAAGAGCGACTGCTGATCATGTGGTCCCGGGTTCAAATCCAAGGTCGGGCGGAAATTAGTTATTAAGTTTTTCTATCAAAAAATTATCAGTAGCAACTGGGAGTCAAGAAGTTGCCTGTGTTTAATATACAGACAACTTCGAATATCAATGCCAAAGATAGCACGTAAAACAAAGTTGGCCCTGCACCTTATTGCTCTCCGGTCATGTCGAATTTCAATCCCATCGTATCGGTGTATGACAATATATATATATATATATATATATATATATATATATATATATATATATATATATATATATATATATTTACAAATCACAGTCCATTTTTATTTCGTAGTAGGATAGAATATTTTTGTTTTGTTGTTCAAATTCCATTAATTGAAATAATCAAAATGTGGGTAATCTATATGAGAAATATATATATATATATATATATATTTATATATATATTTCCCATATAGATTGGACTGTGATTTGTAAAATGATCTTGTTGTCCCTCTTCCACGTGGATGAAGTCATAGGCGAAAGCTAGTTGTAATAGTAATATTTTCCATGGCGTCTACTACCTACGTTTTCGATGTAACTATTTTAATGTTATCTATGGTATTATTGTTTAAACGTTATAAATATAAATACGGGAAGGTTTAAAGCAAAATTTAAAATTGCCTTATTATATATTGTGTCAAGTGGTCGTGGTCAATCGTGAAAAAAAAATTGTAAAAGTGCTTAATACAAGCAATAAATGGAAATGGAGGCCGACAAAGAAATTGTAGATAAACTCATCAACAAAATTAGAATTCCTTTGCCATTTAAATCTTTACCAGCCATAATAACAATTCTATTCCCTTATTACCAGGTTTTGCTTCTGGGACTGGCACGGGCTGTGCTAAAGTTATACTCAATAACAATGGATGTACATTGAAAAAACCTTTACGTCCATTTCACTGGTTGGACGTGATGGATTTTGAATGTACATCCCAGTCTTACTGGGAATAACTTTAGCACAGCTCGTGCTGGTCCCAGAATACTATGCCGGGTGGGAACCTGACATTTTATTTAGCTCTTAGAGCGGTCAACGCTCCATGTGCTGCTTCGGAGTTGCTTTATATATACAGCGCTGTAACTTCAGAACTTTGATAGCGCGATTTAGGCTACGGTGTGTTTCGCTTATGGTGCGACGACAGCGCCTCCTTTAATAAAAATAAAGGAGCAATTGTTGCGTATGCAAATTCATCTCCCTGTTATTATATGTTGGATACAATATTTTATTTAAAAGTGATAGTGTTAACTTGTGCAAATGCCAATCCCAATTACACATGTTGCAACCTGCTGGATAAAAAGGGACCACCGGCAAACGGGCGTCGTATTAACAATTATAGGGCTTTAGCAACGCGCTAAAAGTTATTCACTGTGTTAAATAATACATATTCAATAAGTCGTCTCTTTGCTCACTCTAGAAAACGCTTTAAGTCAGTCGTGGATTCGCGAGTCTGATAAATTAAGGCAGTCTACTTATTTTTATTGTTGTACTACCCATACTCGTATCATCTATTAATAGTCTATCGTCGGTTGACTTGCTTGGCAAGTGGGATGGTAACCGCAGTTTTTTTTAAATTATTTTGAGTTCTTATCACGAAGCTGCCGCTGCTCATCTCCTGTTTCATTTCCCATTTTATACTGAATCGTAATTATTTAATTAGTATTTTGTCGTTTTTTTTTCTATGTTTATGAAGAGAATTTTGAACGTTTTAATTTTTTTAGAGACTCGATTCTCGTGTTAATATCAGGACTCGAAAGAACTTTGATTTCTTACACTGTAAACTTTTAATAATTCTGAAAGTTCCACCAAAATACTTATTTATGGGTAAGTAAGTATCTTTAAAAGTTTTAAAGAGATGGTACCTAGATCTTTTCTCTACTTAGTAATTTGCTGTGATGCCTTTCTACCTTGCTGTCTTCCAATCTCAGGTGTGTGAAAAGCCAGTATATTCACAGGTTGTAATTATTTCATCTTAGTTTTCACAGAGATTCGCATTTGTTTTTTTTTTTGGGTTTACATCTGCATCTATAGATTTTTATGTTTGAAGCTAGTGGCAGGTCCATGAGCCACAGTAGCCAATTACCATCAGGCGGACTGTTGTTTGTCACTTAATGTTAATATAAAAACGACCTTACTTTGCAACTACTATAATCTTCTATGCTACGTAGTAATAACTGATAGATATTCGTATTCACAACATATTTCGTGGCCATTCATGTTATGATCTGGTTTTTGACCGAAGTCATGAGGTTTAATCTACAATATTTACCTCCGTTTATTTGTCTATTTGTTTTAAGTTAAATTGGGATTCTACAATTTACTTATTTATTTATTAATATTTGTAGCAAACATTATTAAGAAAAAATTACAAAGCGGTGGATTTAATTTCTTGGTATTCTCAACTAATCAACTACTTTTATATTTAAATCATCATAAACTACTTTAATTGCTAGCTGTTTTATCAAAATAAAAATAATTTATTACATTTATGTGAATTGAACAAAACAATGTTTTTCGTATTTGCTGAACCTTATTTAAATATTTGACGTTTCGTCCCGTTAAAGTACGCGTCAACTGGCCCACGCCGAACGCATCGCACGCACGGCAAGCAAAGGATTTCAGTTTGCTTTGTATGATTTCACATGGCATCGTGTCCACTAACTGCGCTGCCCGCACTTTTTTTTTGCGCCCGAAGCAAATATGGGCAACCCTCCGGAAAGCGGGGGAGGGAGGTTGAGAATGCTCATAGCATACCACGCCGCCGGCTGCGTGGTTATGTGGTGACTCTTACCCACTAAACTCAACCTTTTAGGAAATGGCTTAACGATCTGTCTAGAGATCTCTAAGCCGTATACGAACGCGACCCTCCTTGGCAGAAAGGAGGCCGCACGCTGCCCGCACGAAACGCCGGCATTTATAAGCAAAAAATTCGTTGCGTGCCGGTGACGTCACAAAAATCAGTTCGTCGCTGGCATCGCCTACCGCCGAGAGTGTTGTTTTGTTTTGCTTAACCCTTAGTTAGGCCTAGTGAGTTTTTTATATTGAGTGTTGAGTTTGGTAGGATATAAGGATATAAAAATAACAATACTATGTTTTATTCTGTTAGCCTATTCCTAAAAGAAACCCTGTGGTTTCAATATGACCACCGCACATTGCGCAAAAATAATGTGGCCCGTATGTTACCTGTGTCCAGAAAGTCATCTGCGCAGCTATTAAGCGTTAGACAACATCATAGTAATATTCACTGATATAATAAAACAACGCTTGAACCTAGAAAATGTTTATTTTATATCATTGGGGATAATTATCGAAACAAGGTGCTGTATGGAGCGGAATTTGAGATATTTTGCACATTATTTTGACATAATATTTTACACATGAGCTCTGTGGGTTTTTTCTTGTACTGCAGTATCTGCATCGTTTCCTGTTGGGCTCGTATGGTGCCTTCTTATCAAATGGGCAGAGTTCAATCATGTGAGGCCCACAAATTTTGACGGCATTTATCTGCGAAAATGTTAATACTAAGATAAATTAAAAAATAATATAAATAAGTACATTTATATAATATCACAAAAAGATATAAATAATAATATTATATAATTTCATTCATGAACCCACATTCTACGTTCAGTTTTACGTTCTACATCATCTACTAAAAAGTAGCTAATAATATCTTTATCAATCTCCATGACCAAATATGTCAACTCATGACAAGAAAATATTCGAAAGTAAATTAAAAATCCGGATACAGTGGACGCATGTAATCGGCAAATCCGTTCAATCCGTTCCTTCCCATGCGTGCGGTACGTCCGGCGCGGGCCAATGTACGCGTAGCTTTATAGTTTTGAATGGAATTTCCTCATTCATGCTTAGAAAGTTATGTATCGACGAAAAGCATCCCGTCCGACAATCACCAGGGAGCGTAACGCGTTGCACGGGTGGGCTGTCGCTATCGGAAGAGGACCACGCTCTCACAGAATATCAGCGTAAAATAGCATCATAGTCCTCAGGATTGACTATGCATTTTGATTCTTAATCGAGGATAGACGTAGATGTATATGGGCCGCAGCATGCACTTACCATCAGGTGGATTGTAGGCTGGATTGCAGTGGCGAAGCTTCCATTAAAGCCGAAAAGCCGGGCTTACCTTATTAAACCTGAATCAATCAATAATATCAATCAATAATATAATAATAAATAATAATAAATATAAATATTTATATCGTCAAACATTAATTTTACATTATATGATCAGTGATCGAAGTCACCTAGTAAGCAAGATAATGCCTGTAGCAGGTGACTTCGCTCTTCCATAGCTAAGTATTACAATATTTTTTACGAAATAAAATATCCTAAAGTAAATAATAAAAATAATAAAAACATCACTTTAGTTTCCTGCCATCAGTCTCAAAGCATTAAAACATCAAAGCATTAAAATATCAACTAATAAAATAACTCGTAAAATGTTTCAAGCTATTTCAAATTTCCCGCGCACTCCACTGTTCGACACATGTCGATCGATGACCTCGTATTGCCTTAGCGATACTGCTGCTGTCATAAAAAATGAGTTTTAATAGAGCTAATAGTTGTCTCTCTCGCTCGCGTGGGCTTTTTTACGGGGTTTTCGAGAAGACGATCGCTCTCTTTCTAACCTATGGCAAAATATTCTATAATGAAATATAACTATGATTGTAAATATAGCAATTAGTATAGAGATTTAAAGCCAGGCTTTTGGG